GGTGGTCATGATGATGATGGTGGTGATGATGATGCTGCTGCTGATGACGATGATGATGATGATGATGATGATGATGATGATGCTGATGCTGATGCTGATGCTGATGCTGCTGCTGCTGCTGCTGATGATGATGATGATGATGATGATGATGATGATGATGATGATGATGATGATGATGGTCACGAGGATTAAGAGGAGGACGACGATGAAGATGGGAGCAGCAGCAGCAGCAACAGCAGCAGCAATGGAAAGGCGGAGGTGCAGCGGACGCAGCAGCTGCAGAAACGTTGGCCCCCGTCTGCAAGCAGCCGCTCCCGCGCGCGCGCGCGCCCGCGCGCGCGCCCGGCCGGCCGACGCGGCTCAAGAGTGTCACGCGGGCCGCGGCCGCGGGCACCGGCCGACCGGGCCCCCCCTGGAGCGAATGAGATGGTCAGCTCCGCCTTGAGGCTGCGGGAGGGAAGGTGCGACTCCACAAGAGTGACCCTGCGCCGTGACTTTTGGCAACGGGCCCACGTGTCCACGGAGGACCTGTATGCACCGTATACCGCGCTGGCGTCTCCAGGGGCGTCGTCGATCCTCGACCCAGGAATGGTGCGGTGCATAGTTTGTTCGAACCTCAGGGCCGCAAAGCTATGCACCGTACCACGTTGGGGCAGGGTCTGAAAGGAGTCCAGGCATGGTACGGTGCACGGCCTCCGTTCTCTCGTAACATGGGTCCCCAGATCGCAGAACACGTTGCAGTGGAGGCCCATGCCAAGAAACACCCCGCTTGTCTCCAGGGTGCCCTGCGTTTCTTGAGTGTCGAGGGTTTTGCGATGAGAAAGGCGTGACGCTCCCACGCCAAAAACCAGTGGACGTCCTGGGGTCTCAGGGTTGAGCTTCTCGTGGAAAGCTTCTTGCGGTCCAGCCCCTGCCGTACCGCGTGGGGGCAGGGCCCGAAGAGGAGCCCGGGCATGGTGCGGCGCACGGCCGCCGTTCTCTCGCGGCGTGGGCCCCCAGATCGCCGAGCGCGTTCCACGACAGCACGGTGGCAGCGCTGGTGCGCCCGGGTTTGGTGCCGCCGCGCCCGCCTGGAAGCCGCGCACCAGGAAGCAACAAAAATAGTCCGGGGACGATTTTTACCTAACAGCGAAGACTGATAGGTTTCTAATGGGCTAAAAAGAGAGCAGCAGATGACTCCACAGGGGGGTCTGGGCGGGTGCCGGACAGGGTGCCGCAGAAGTCGTTTTAAGCCAACAGTCACACACTTCGTGCTCTTCGACCTCCCAGAACTCCATTCCCGGGCCACATTCTGAATGCCCGGAGCCAACTGTAGGCCACTTCGTGCTCTTCGACTTCCCAGAACTCCATTCCCGGGCCACATTTTGCCCGGAGCCAACTTTCGTGGAAGAACTCCATTCCCGGGCCACATTTTGGCCCGGAGCCAACTGTAGGCCACTTCGTGCTCTTCGAGTTCCCAGAACTCCATTCCTGGGCATGATTTTGAATGCCCGGAGCCAACTGTAGGCCACTTCGTGTTCCTCTAGTTCCCAGAACTCCATTCCTGGGCCACATTTTGAATGCTGAGGCAGGCTGATGCTGCGGCCGAGGCAGGCTGAGGCTGAGGCAGGCTGAGGCTGAGGCCGAGGCTGAAGGCAGACTGAGGCTGAGGCAGGCTGAGGCTGAGGCTGAGGCAGGCTGAGGCTGAGGCTGAGGCAGGCTGATGCTGAGGCAGGCTGAGGCTGAGGCTGAGGCTGATGCAGGCTGAGGCTGAGGCAGGCTGAGGCTGAGGCCGAGGCTGAAGGCAGACTGAGGCTGAGGCTGAAGCAGGCTGAGGCTGAGGCTGAGGCAGGCTGAGGCTGAGGCAGGCTGAGGCTGAGGCTGAGGCAGGCTGAGGCTGAGGCTGTGACTGCGACTGCCGTTGCCGCTGCGACTGTCATCGCGAATGCGACTACGACTGCGAGAACAGCAGAATTCTACAACTGGATTTTCATCTGAATCTTAAGGGGAATGCTTTCAGATATGCTTCTACACATCGCTGTTAGGTTGCTTTGCCGGGATAATTTTACCTAACAGCTTTTGCTGATAGGTTTCTAGTGGTCTCAAAAGAGAGCAGCAGATGACTCCACAGGGGGGTCGGGGCGGGACGGACGCGGCTGCCGCCGCACTCGTTTTTCGCAAACAGTCACACACTTCGTGCTCTTCGACCTCCCAGAACTCCATTCCCGGGCCACATTCTGAATGCCCGGAGCCAACTGTAGGCCACTTCGTGCTCTTCGACTTCCCAGAACTCCATTCCCGGGCCACATTTTGGATGCCCGGAGCCAACTGTAGGCCACTTCGTGCTCTTCGATTCCCAGAACTCCATTCCCGGGCCACATTTTGAATGCCCGGAGCCAACTGTAGGCCACTTCGTGCTCTTCGAGTTCCCAGAACTCCATTCCTGGGCATGATTTTGAATGCCCGGAGCCAACTGTAGGCCACTTCGTGTTCTTCGAGTTCCCAGAACTCCATTCCCGGGCCACATTTTGAATGCTGAGGCAGGCTGATGCTGCGGCTGAGGCAGGCTGAGGCTGAGGCAGGCTGAGGCTGAGGCCGAGGCTGAAGGCAGACTGAGGCTGAGGCTGAAGCAGGCTGAGGCTGAGGCTGAGGCAGGCTGAGGCTGAGGCTGAGGCAGGCTGATGCTGAGGCAGGCTGAGGCTGAGGCTGAGGCTGATGCAGGCTGAGGCTGAGGCAGGCTGAGGCTGAGGCCGAGGCTGAAGGCAGACTGAGGCTGAGGCTGAAGCAGGCTGAGGCTGAGGCTGAGGCAGGCTGAGGCTGAGGCAGGCTGAGGCTGAGGCTGAGGCAGGCTGAGGCTGAGGCTGTGACTGCGACTGCCGTTGCCACTGCGACTGTCATCGCGAATGCGACTACGACTGCGAGAACAGCAGAATTCTACAACTGGATTCTCATCTGAATCTTAAGGGGAATGCTTTCAGATATGCTCCTACACATCGCTGTTAGGTTGCTTTGCCGGGATAATTCCTTTTTTAAGATTTCCGTTTTTTCTTCCAGCATTGTTTCACTATTTTACCTAACAGCGAAGACTGATAGGCTTCTAGTGGTGTCAAAGAGAGCATCATGACTCCTCAGGGGGGTCGGGGCGGGACCCGGGGCGGCTGCCGCCGAAGCCGAAATCGCTTGGGACATCCTCGCAAAATCGCTCTTGGCGCTCCCAGAACTCCATTCCCGGGCCACATTTTGAATGCCCGGAGCCAACTGTAGGCCACTTCGTGCTCTTCGAGTTCCCAGAACTCCATTCCCGGGCCACATTTTGAATGCCCGGAGCCAACTGTAGGCCACTTCGTGTTCTTCGAGTTCCCAGAACTCCATTCCCGGGCCACATTTTGAATGCTGAGGCAGGCTGAGGCTGAGGCTGAGGCAGGCTGAGGCTGAGGCAGGCTGAGGCTGAGGCCGAGGCTGAAGGCAGACTGAGGCTGAGGCTGAAGCAGGCTGAGGCTGAGGCAGAGGCAGGCTGAGGCTGAGGCAGGCTGATGCTGAGGCAGGCTGAGGCTGAGGCTGAGGCTGATGCAGGCTGAGGCTGAGGCAGGCTGAGGCTGAGGCCGAGGCTGAAGGCAGACTGAGGCTGAGGCTGAAGCAGGCTGAGGCTGAGGCTGAGGCAGGCTGAGGCTGAGGCAGGCTGAGGCTGAGGCTGAGGCAGGCTGAGGCTGAGGCTGTGACTGCGACTGCCGTTGCCACTGCGACTGTCATCGCGAATGCGACTACGACTGCGAGAACAGCAGAATTCTACAACTGGATTCTCATCTGAATCGTAAGGGGAATGCTTCCAGATATGCTCCTACACATCGCTGTTAGGTTGCTTTGCCGGGATAATTATATTCTTCCTCCAGCATCCGCCCGTAGGAGGACATGCCCGACCCAACATTTGGAGGCCGCGTCACGGGGGCGCGAGACATGCGGAGGCAACGGGGGCTGCAGAAAAGGTGCCCTTTAGGGGCCCGAGACGGAGCCCTTTCGTGTCTCTGAGGGGCCGCGCACCACATGTCACTCTTGCTCATGGCCGCTCTTGCGTCTGCTCCGGATTTCGCAATAAAGGGGGGGTGGTCTGATGTGGGGGTCTGATTGGGGCCGTTCTGGAGGGTTCCAGGGGGGCCTGGGCAACAGGCCGCCATTCCGTGGCTGGTCTGGGGGAGGGTCTAAAGCTGCTCGTCCGGGAGGGTTGTGACCCCCTCCCTTTCATTCGGGACTCTGGAGTCGCCGAGCGATGTGCCCAGGCATCCCATGGCCCGATCCTCGCGGTCCTGGGCGCGCCTGCTCGGCCTTCTCGGCCTCCCCAGGGGGGGGGGGGGGCGGCGGTTTCCGCGCCCCGTGGCCAGCAAGGGCGGAGCCGGGAAGGGTGGCCTGCTCCCAGGGAGAGGGTCGAAGCCTCAGTCCAGGGCTCCAGGGACGGGGGGTCGATGCAAACAGGGGGTCAGTCAGGGCGCCGGATCTTGCAGGCTCCTGCAGAGCCAGAGTTGCATTGACCCGGGCTGGCGTGCAGGATCCAGCAGGACCCGGCAGGATCTTGCAGGATGCTGCATGGCCTGGTTGACCTGGGTCTGCGTTGACCCGGTTCTCGTGCGTCCCCGAGCTGTCCCGCAGATGGAGTAGACGCCGACATTGGCGCGCAAGCTAAGCTGCCCGCGTAAGGTCTCGCGCGAGCGCCCTCGCCTCCAACGTGCGTGCCGCGCCAGCGGCTCGCGCAAGCCGCGGCGTGAGGTCGCTGTGCCGTCTCGCGTCAGACCTGTTTTTTTGTGATCGTCGCTCACGTGCTGGGGCCACCCGTGCAGACACGTCTGGGCTGTCTGTGCAGGCTGCCGGGCCCTCCACAGGCGCCTCCTCTGGGCCCGGGATCTCGGTGGCCGTGGCCTGCCGGCCTGGCCGGAGGGCCGCGAGCCACCGCGGAGAGTCGTGCCCAGAGGCGGCCTCCCGTGGGGGGCGTGGCGGCAGTGTGCTCATCCTTTCCTCTCCCCTGCGAGGGGATGGCCGGCTTCTCGCTCCTGTCGGTCCTCGGCAACGGGAGCTCCGGGAGGGGGCGGGCGCAGACCCAGCATCATCATCATCATCATCAGCATCATCAGCATCATCATCATCATCGTCGTCGTTGTCGTCGTCGTCATCATCATCATTCTTGTTTTGCTTGATCGCATGTTCTGTGTAATCTCGGTGTTTCTGTATATATACATATATTTATTTATCTATTTATACAGTATCCAGCGACACACACATATATATACATGCATACGTACATACATACATACATACATACCTATATACATACATACATACACACATACATACAGACAGACATACATGCATGCATTCATACAAATATGCACACATACATACATATATGCATACATACATACACACATACATACATGCAACCACTCATGTTTCCATACATATATACCGCCAGGCAGGCATATGTACATACATACATACATGCATGCATGTATGCATACATACATACACGCTTACATACCAACATAGATGCATGCATGCACGCATACAAACGCACTTACGCATCCATACATCGTACATATATGTATGCAATCATGCAAGCAGTCATGCATGCATGTATGCATGTATGCACACATACATAGACACACACTTACGTACATACATGCATGCGTACATACACACGTGCATGCATGTATGCATACATACATACATACGTACGTTCATTCACTCATCCATTCATACATGCGTCTACACACATACATACGTACGTACATGCATTCATCCACCCGAACGTACAAACATAGACATACATGCGTACACACATACATACATACATACATACATACATGCATGCATACATACATACATCCATCCATACATACATACATACATACATACATACATACATACATACGTACATACAAACATACATACATACATACATACATGCATGCATGCATGCATGCATACATGCATACATACATACATACATACATACATACAGCGGGGTCCAGGCCGGGGGGCCCCAGGGCCGCGACCCCGATCGCAAATGTGTGTGCCCGGGGCCAGGCCCGCTTTTGGGGGGCCCAAGATCGCTCCTGAGAGCCACCGGACAGCCGTCACGGCGGCCCAAGACGGCCCCGAGTCACCCCCACGACGCCCTCCAGTGGTTTCCGACGGCCCATGATGCATCTCAAACGGCCCCAGAGGTGTCCACGACGCTTCCAGACCGCTCCAGGAGGACTCTCCAGAGGTCCCCTAGAAGCAATACTCGTTCCATTCCTTCCAGAAAAGCTAGAAGTGTAACATTTTCGCCTTTCTGGTTTACATACGATCCAGTACGACCCTAGACGTTTCCAAATTCGTCCCAAGACTGCCCAAGAGGATCCTTACACGGCCCAAGATGGTCCCAAGACAGACCAAGAAGCCCCGAAGACGGGCAAAAGGGGCCTCAAGAGGGCGCCAAGATGAGTCCAAGAGGGGGAACCCGAGCTGCCATTTCGAGCCCTTCGCCCAAAGATGGCCCCCGAGGCCCCCAACAAGCCCCTAACAAAGCCAAAGAGGCCCCTGGGAGGCCCAAACGAGTGCCCAAAGTAGCCTCCAAGAGACCTCAAAGCCCCCGGGCATCCCCCGGGAACCCCCCAAGAGGTCCCCAAACAGGCTCAGAGAGACGTCCAAAGAGACCCCAGGATACGTTTATAAGGCCTGACCCACAACCCAGGCATGTTTCCTTATCGACTCCAGACCGCCGTCAAGGCGGCTCCAGAGGGCCCCGAATCGCCTTCAAGACGGTTTCGAAGAGTCTTCGAAGGCGATGGTCATGTGGCTCTGGAAGGACCAGTTCTGGCAATTCGGATGCCCCTGCGCGAATAGGACCCGTGCGAGGCATGTGCCGAGATGGGAGGGCGGACGCCATGCGAAGCTGCCCATTAGTGCCACAGGTGGAGCTCCTTCTGGGGCATGGTTCGCGTGACGGTTGTGCCGACATGGTCGCGGGAGCGTTGCACGACTCTTTTCCCTGGGCCTGTGGATGGCGCTCCCTGTGGACACGATCCGTGTGATGGGGTGTACCGCAATGGGCGAGGGGGGCGCAATGCGAACTCTGCCTCTGGGGCAGAAGGTGAAGACCCTTGTGGGCCACGGTCCACGTGAGAGGTGTGCCGAAGTAGGCGGGGGGGCGGGATGCGGACATTGTCTGTTGGACCGTCCGTGGATGTCCCTGCGGGCCACGAGCCGTTTGAGAGGCGTGCCGAAGTGAGTGGGGCGACGATATGAAGCTTCCGGGGCCTCTCGGGGGCCTCCGGGGTCGTCTTAGGGTGGGGCGTTGTTGGCTCATCAGGGGCATCCGGAAACCGTCGCGGGAGCCTCGGGGGGTGTCATGAGGGTATTTCGGTCGCTGCAGGGCCGTCTTGGGGTCCCCTTCCCTTGGCGCGGTCTTCTGGACCTCTTCAGCTCTTGGGGGCCATTTTGTGGCGCTTTGGCCGGCTTGGGACCTGCGTGGGGTGGGGTGTTTTTGGCCGCCTTGCGTCTGTTGGACCCATCTGGGCTGCCCGAAGCCCGACAATTGGAGAAATTGGAAACCAATCAACCGATCAGAACAATCGGTCCCCTCCGGGCCGATTGGACTTCTTCAGGCTGTCCTGGAAAGCCTCGGGTTCCATTCAAGCCGTCTTGGCCGTCTTGGAGGCACATGCGGCGAACTTGGCGGCATCTTGGGACCCTCGTGCCATTTTGGAGGCTACCTGTGACCGTCTTGGGCCGTCTGGACCCGTCTTGAGGATCATCTTGGGACACGTTGGCTGGCTGGGAGGCGAGTTGTCTTGATGTTGGGTGCTGTCTGCGGTGGCGGCGGGAGGATCGAAGGCCACACGGAGTCTTTTAGAATGGCCAGCCGTACTCTGCAGGCCGCGCACCTCTCTTGCAAGCAAGATGGACGACGGACCGAAATTCGCCTACGGCGAGCCACCGCCGTCCTCTGCCTTTTGGGAAACGCCCATTTGTCTAAGCGTGGTGCTGACGCGGCAGCGGGGCGGCCACGGGCGGCAACATGCGGCCGCGGGCGGCGACGCGGCGAAGCCTCGGCGGCCTGCCCAGGTTGGCGGCAACGAGGCGGCCAAGATGCGGCCGCGGTCGGCGCCGCGGCGAAACCTCGGTGGATCCCCCCAAGCGAGCGGCAACGAGGCGGCTACGAGGCGGCCGAGGGCGGCGCGGCGAACCCCCCAGTTGAGTGGCACCGCGGCGGCCACGGGGCGGCCACGGGCGGCCACTGGCGGCAGCGTGGAGCACCCTCGACACGCCCAGCCAAGTACGTAGGAAGGCAAGGACAGATGCACGCGTATGTATCTACATGCATGTAGACGTCACAACGGCGCTATACGTGTAGGGATGTGTATCCATGCGCATCGATCTACGGCTTTCGCACTTCCTGTAGTGCCAGTGATTCGAGTTGGACCCCCTCAGTGCGCCATGGTGCTCCCGCCTCGGCGCAGGTTCGCGTTTCCTGTCAACGCGAGGCTCACGGTTGAACTTCTCTTGGGTGCGTCGAAACTGGCCCACCACCAACAACGCTGCCGCTCGATGCCCCCTTGCTTCTCACTGATGACTGGTGCTCTTGCCTCGCCGTCGAGGGTCTGCCTTCCAACACAAACAATGCTGCCGCTCTATGCGCCTTAACCCTATAACCTTTGCGGACATCTCAAGCCACATCGCAGCATGAGAACCAGGTCATAGAGTCTGAGGAACTCAAGCGGGAGCCGCATCTTGAAACCGAACCCGCCTCCATCCTTGTAATGGTTGGACGCTTTTAAAATGACCGTGAGGCGCGCTAAGACGGGCGTCGTATTTCGAACACCACCCCCATCCAGTGGTTTAACCGCTGAAATTGTGTAAGACATGCGTTCGCAGCACTAAGGCGAAAGCCGATATTGAGAAGCGTACAGGCGTTCAATCGATCACTTTGTGGAATAGTATACAAGGAATGCGTGCGGTGTTTATGCGAGAGCCGCATGTTGGACACCGTTGTAGCTGTATAGGGGCGTTTGAAACGAATGTGCACGGCGCTGAGGCGAGGGCTGCATTTTGGAAACCAACGCTGTTTGAATGATTAGCTTCAGAATCGGAAGTTGTAAGGACGTTGCCAGCGAAGCGACCAGCCAGCCCAACGGACACGTCTGGTGGTGGGACACTTGGAGACATTCAGACGGACAAGGAATGGATGGAGGAGGAGGAAGCGGCGGAAGGCAGGAGGAGGAGGCGGAGGAGGAGGAGGAGGAGGAGGAGGAAGGCAGGAGGCGAAGCATCTGGAGGCGGAGGAGTGAAAGAGCTTTGGAGGGAAGCAGGGTGAGAAGGATGAGAAGGGTGATTGTGATGCTGACGATGGTGATTGTGGTGGTGGTGATGATGATGCTGAGGAGGAGGATGAGGAGTAGGAGGAGGAATAGTAGGATGACGACGACGAGCATGATGATTTTCAAAAGGCGTCGTCCTCAACCCGTGAAGCTCCTTGCAAGTTGTTAAACGAATGCGCGCGGCGCTAAAGTGAGAGCGACATTTTGGAAACCGCCTGCCCTCCATCCGTGACAACTGGTCAGGCAGTCTCAGGCGAAACGACCAGCCCGCCTTGTCGACCAGCCTCGGGGTGAAACAGGGAGGACTTATCTAGAAGAAAAAGGAATGGAGGAGGAGCATGCTGATGACGGCTGACGACGACCACCAGAACGAGGAGAAGGAGGAGGAGGAGGAGGAGGAGGAGGACAACTATACATAATAATGCAGAACAAGGCGAACATGGAGGCAGAAGAGGAATGATGATGAGGACAAGGAAATATTGATAATACGAATTCGGAGGAGAAGGAGTAGGGAGGAGGAGGAGGAGGAGGAAGAGGAGGAAGAGGACGAGGAGGAGGAATAGGAGAAGGACGAGGGGGGGAGGAGAAGGGGAGGAGGAACAGGACGGCAGGAGGAGTTGAAGCAGGTCGAGGCTGAGGACGGAGGAGGCTTACGAGGGAGTGAGGATGAGGAGGCTGATGATGAGGAGGAGGCGGAAGGACGGAGGGGTATGACTAGGAGGAGGAGGAGGACGCCAGGACAAGGCTAAGGCGGAGGCGGAAGAGGAAAGAGGATGACAACAGCACGGGTGCTGATGATGCTGATGCTGATGCTGATGCTGCTGCTGATGATGATGATGATGATAATGGTGATGATGATGATGATGATGATGATGATGATGATGATGATGATGATGATGATGATGATGATGTGGATGATGATGCTTATGACGACGATGACCATGCTGCTGCTGGTGATGAGGATGATATGGTGATGATGCTGCTGATGATGATGCTGATGATGGTGATGATGATGATGATGGTCACGCGGACAATGGTGATGCGGTTGATGATGGTGATGCTGCTGGTGATGATACTGATGATGATATTGATGATGCTGCTGATGATGATGATGTGGTTTTTGATGTTGCCGCTGATTGTTTTGATGATGCTGCTGATGACGCTGCTGCTGGTGATGACGATGATGATGACGATGTTGCTGATGGTGATGATGCTGCTGATGATGATGATTCTGATGCTGATGGTGCTGCTGCTGATGCTGATGCTGGCGATGATTATGATGCTGATGATGCTGCTGCTGATGTAGATGATGATGATGATGATGTTGATGATGATGATGATGACGATGATGACGATGATGATGATGATGATGCTGATGATGGTGACGATGATAATGATGATGATGATGATGATGATGATGATGATGATGATGATGATGATGATGATGATGATGATGATGATGATGATGATGATAATGATGATGCTGATGATGATGCTGATAATGATGATGCGGATGATGCTGATGCTGTTGCCGTTGCTGATGCTGATGCTGATGCTGATGCTGCTGCTGCTGCTGATGATGATGATGAGGAGGAGGAGGAGGAGGAGGAGGAGGAGGAGGAGGAGGAGGAGGAGGAGGTGGAGGAGAATGAGGAGGAGGATTAGGAGGAGAAGGAGGAGGAGGAGGAGGGAGGAAGAGGACGTTGAAGAGGATGAGGCGGAGCAGGAGGCAGATGACGACGAGTGTCCAGATCTCCTCCCTGGCAGGAGCGGGCGCACCGCCGGCCACCACCGCTTCCCGATCGCGGCGTACCAGTCGGGCTCCGTCCTTGTGCTCTGGGACTACGTGCGCTCCGGCGGGGAGACCAGGCGGGGCCCGCCGCCTTCCTGGCCGGCCCCGCTCAGGGCTCATGTCTGTCCCGTGTAAGCTTCGCGGGCGTGGCCAGAAGTGCCTTTGGCCTGAGGGCGACGCGGAGGACGAGGACCTGCTCGTCGAGACCTTCGACAGGGGGCCACTTGCGAACCCTACCCCTACCCCACACGATTTCTGAGGGGGAGGGTGGGGTTCACTTCGCTCGGGAGCTCCCGAGCGAAGTGAACCCCGCCCTCCGCCTCAGGAATCGTGTGGGGGGCAGGGGTAGGGCTCGCAAGGGGACCCCTGTCGGAGGTCTCGACGACCGCGGCGCCTCGGGTGTTGCCAGGAAGTGCCCCCTGGCCCGAGTTGAGGCCCGAAAGCCACCCAGAGTCAGGGTCCATGTCGATCCGATCGATCCAGTTCAATGTCGACCTCGGCCGGCCCTGTCTTGTCCGATACCGAAATTCCGACGGTCCGATGCGGCCCGTAATTTACATGGTGCTGTTGCACATCCTTTGCCCTGTGACCGGCTGTTGAGGTCCGAAGCCCAGACCTCCGACGACGTCTTGGACAAACGGAGGCGGCGTCCGCCTCGCCATTTCCAGCTCGAACGACTGGGTCACCCCCAGAGGCGCAAGGATAATCGCGCTTCGCGCGTCGCGGCATGGGCTGGAGAGCTGCGCTTCTCCACGGTGGCGCATCGTGGGGCGCGATGCGCGAACTCAGGCTACTTGTGAATCCCAAAGCCCGTTTCTGTGCAGGGGATGCCCTGAGACCTGGGCGTTGCAGTGTTCTCGCCCCAGGCGTTCTTCTCGTCCAGCCTTGAAACATGTGCCGCAGACGACGGATTCCCCATGGTTTTGTGTTCTGTTCGCGGTGTCGTTAGGGAAAGAAAGCGCACCTCCTCCCCCACCTGGCCCCTTCCCCCCTCTGAGGCTGGGTCAGAGAGCTTCAGCTCCCCATTGTGAGGATGCATCGTCAAAAGCGGCGCAAGAAGTATACCCCACCCCTATCTGGTCGCCCCCCCCTCGCCCCCTTCGGGGGAGCGGGGCCAGGTTGGCGAGGGAGTGCTTTTTGTCTCTCCTATAGTGTCGGATCCCAGGCATGAGCAATTTTTTGCTGGTGTCAACGAAAATTCAAAAAAGAATCCGCGGCTCCAGAGCTCCCGACCCCTTGCCACGGGTATAGTTCTGTGTCCGGGCTCCACGTTTGATCGCCCCAGGGCTCGAAATTCGCCCCAGGCGGGCCGAGATGGTGGAGAAACGCCAGAATCGGAAACACACACACACACCTAATATCGCCAGAGGTTTGGGATCTCAGGGGGCTGGGCGGGCCTTGGCTGTAGCTTTTCGGTCTCTGTGTGCCCTTGGCCTGCGGTCGTCTCCGTGCCCCCCAGGCGGTCCTTCGGCCGGCGTGGCCCCGGTGGCGCCGCCAGACGAAGCGTTTAGTCTTATTACTTCCTGCGCGCCCCTTTCTGATCCTCCTCCTCCTCCTCCTCCTTCTCCCTACTCCCTCCTGCTGCTGCTGTTTCTCCCCTTCCCTCCCTCCCTCCCTCCCTCCCTCCCTCTCCCTCCCTCTCCCGCCCTCCCTCTCCCTCCCTCTCTCTCTCTCTCCTCCCCTCTCTCCTTCTCTCTGTCTTTTTTTTTTTTTTTTCTCTCTCTCTCTCTCTTGATAATGATGATGATCCTGCTCTCCCACCGCCCCCTCCTTTACTCCCTGGCCCTCCCTCTTCCTCCACCCCTTCCCCTCGGTTTCTCCTGGAAGCTTCCGCGGAGGCACCTCTAAGGTCCGACGGGCCTCCGGGGGCACAAGCCACGCCTCGAGCTTCGAAAAACATCTCGAAGCTCCCTCCCTGCCTCCCTCCTCTTCCCGTGGCTGGGCCGGCCAGGAAGTTCGTGCTGCTGCAGCCGAACCAGCGGTGCACGTCCCTGTTCTTCAGCAGGCGCTGCCGCCCAGTGGGACCTTCCTCCCTCGCGTCTCGGCCCCGGGGCAGCTCTCGACGGCTCCCCGCCCTGCCCTCCCCTCTTGGGAGGGCCCCCCCGGGCATTGGGGTTGTTCCCTCCCTCCCTCCCTCCCTCCCTTCCCAGAGATCCGACGCTCTGAAAAAATGGGAGCGGCCAGTTTTTGGCTGTTTTTTTAGGCTGTTTTCAGCCTCTGGGAGCCCTCGCCGGGCCTCGGGACTGTCAAATAACGAGTCAGGACGAAAAACCGGTCCTGGGGAAGTGGTCCAGACCTCTGGGGCCCACGCATCGACCAACATTGGAGCGGCCAGATGTCTGGCTCCCTCCTTCTCCAGGGGAGGTCCTCGGTGGCCCAGGAAGACCAGGGGCGTCCAAGAACCCCGATTCGCAGGCGATGTTTCTCCCCCAACCCCCGAGTTCCACCCGAAAGTTTGTCCTGTCCGTTCAGAAACAGGGGGCATTCCTGGGGTACACCTCAAGGGGGCGATTCGGACGCATGTCTATCGAGGATGGACGCCCCCCATCGTGTATCCCAGGGTTGGGCCACAGATTTCTGGTCAACCCGAAAACACCACCAAGCCCCGGATCGGGGTCGACATATTCCTGTTACCTATCCCTCTGATCCTGCCTGCCTCCCTACCTCTGGCTGGTCCCATCTTCTCAACCTGCTGAGTCCTGCTCTTCAATCCTCGCGGGCCTACGCCGCAGCGTTCTGAGTTCCGCGTCGTCCCCGTTGGGGGCACCTGCCCTGGGCTGCGCTCTTGTCCAGGGGGCCGCTCTCGAAAGGGGCAGCACGAGCTCGTGCTCGAGTGGCCGTGGGCGCGAGAGATTCTTCAAGCCTGTCCATACGGGTCTCCTCTTGTCGCCCTGCTCCTCCTGCTGCCCCTCCTCCTCCTCCTTTTGCCCCTCCTCCTCCTCCTCCTCCTCCTCCTTTTGCCCCTCCCTTTGCCCCTCCTCCTCCTCCTCCTCCTCCTCCTTCCCTCTCCTCGTGCCGCCCTCCTCCTCCTCCTCCTGCAGCTCTGGGGCAGCTGAACTGAGCAGCGTGCGTGAGCCGCTTCCCATGGCCAGCTGGACCGAGTTCAGCTCACCCTGCCTCCGCCCGCGAGCTGGCCGACCCTCCCCCCCCCGGCAGGGACTCGCAGCACGTCCTCGGCCTCTGGGCGTCGCAGACCGGGCAGCCGACGCTGACGGTGTGGCAGGCCCCGGGCGCGCGGACCCTCCAGCGGGGGAGGCGGGGAGGTGTGGGGGAGGAGGCGGGGAGGGTTATGTCGGGCCTGTCCCCCTACAGGGGGATTTTCGACGACAAATAAAAAAATGCCCCACACATACCCCAAAAAGGTCAAACAATATTGAAACAATAGTCCCCAGACTATTTTTGGATTATTTTTTGATTATTTTTGAAGTATTTTTTTGTTTTTCGTCGAAATCCCCCCGTTTCGGCGAGTCTGCGGGCGTCCACCCCGAACGGTCCTGAGGTCCCGGGGTCCCCCCATGCGGCGGCCCCGAGAGAGAGAGAGAGAGAGAGAAGAGAGCAAAGGGACTCGCATGGAGCGAGGGAGGGAGAAAGGCAGGGAGGAAGACTCTGAGTAGTAGTCGTAGTCGTAGTCGTAGTCGTAGTCGTAGTCGTAGTCGTAGTCGTAGTCGTAGTGGTAGTAGTAGTAGTAGTAGTAGTAGTAGTAGTAGTAGTAGTAGTAGTAGTAGTAGTAGTAGTAGTAGTGGTAGTAGTAGTAGTAGTAGTAGTAGTAGTAGTAGTAGTGGTAGTAGTAGTAGTAAGTAGTAAGTAGTAGTAGTAAGTAGTAAGTAGTAAGTAGTAGTAAGTAGTAGT